TGAGCGCGGGCGCGGGCGCGGGCGCGGGCGGGGGCGGGCGGCGGCCACCAGCATGGCTCTGAGCAGCCTCCTCACCTCCCCAGATCTGCAGCCTCCTGCGCGGGGGCATCGCTGAGCGCGGGGGCGTCCGCGTGGGACACCGCATCATCGAGATCAACGGGCAGAGCGTGGTGGCCACGCCGCACGCGCGCATCATCCAGCTGCTCACAGAGGCTCAGGACGAGGTGCGGCGCAGCCTGGGGACGCCCTATGCTGACCACGCCCCCTCTTGTCCTGCCTCCCTGTAGTAATGTCCACGCCCCGCCCTGACCCTGACCCCGCCTCCCTTGCTGACCACACCCTCTGGCCCAGACCCCGCCTCCCCATCCTGACCGGGCTTTCCCATCCCCAGGTGCACATGAAGACAATGCCAGCTGCCACCTACCGCCTTCTCACAGGCCAGGAGCAACCTGTGTACCTGTGACCATCCCTCCACCCACATCTGCACCGCCGTGCCTTAGTCCCCACTGGCCAGGCCCCTCCTTGGCCAGACGGGACCCCAAAGGATTTCTGGCCCTATATTATTTTTAATGTAAAAAAAAATTAAAAGTTTATTGAATGGGCAAAACCTCCAGTCAAGGTCTGCAGGGCTGAGAGAGGAGAGACCACCCCCCTTGTCCTTCCTGGAAGCTGCCAGCACTGTAAAAATGCTCAGTTTATTACCGGCCAGGCAGGGAGAAGCAAAGTTCTGGGTTCTGTAGGGGAAACTGAGACCCAACGCCAGGAGGCAAAGGAACAGCGGGCCAGCTGGCAACCTGAGAGGGGTCACAGGTCAGTGGCTGGACCCCAGTCGTAACCCTCCTCATCAGAGGACTCCACATCTCGGGCTCGGGTAAACTTCTTCCTCAGGGCCTCCCGTTCATATGTCCTGTGAATCAGAAAGGAGGAGTAGAAGCCTCGGATGGGAGGGCGTGAGTTCCCCTAGCGTTACTGTGACTAACTCCACTAGGCACAGTGGTTATGGGCAGGGGTGAACAAGACTGGGCATTGTGAACAAACTTCTGTGCATCCCACAAAGCCCCAGTTCCAATGCTCACTCCTTCAATAAGCTTTCACAGTCATCCCAGGAAGTGGATCCCTGTTCCTTCAGCCTGTGTGCAGGGGGCTTGGAGTGGCCCTGTTGGGCTCTACCTTAGCCACTTGGTGCCATGAAGCCACAGCCTGGTCCTAGGACCCCTCCTAAGCCACAGTCTGAGTCCAAAAGAAAGGGTTCAAGGTCCCACACCCTATGTGGGGGCTCTTACCGCATACTGTCCTGGCGCCATTGTCCCTGGGGATGGTAGCTGTCCACCTAGAGAGAGAAGGGTTCACATTAACCCCAGAGCACGGGGATGAATAAATGCCCCATCCCACCGCAGTGGGATCCCAGGCAGTGCAGGGGGAGGGGAAACCATGGCAGAGACCTCCTGCCTATAGGCAGGGGGAGAATTCTATTTCTCTACAGTTCCCCAGAGGACAGTGCTTGTGCGTTCATAAATGGTTTAATGTATGTAAAGGGCTGACAGTAGTGATGCCCCACAAACAGGCTGCCAGGGACAGGTGAGTGGGTTGAGCACTGCATCATTAAGACCAGGACGTCACAGATTGGTAGATGTTTACATCTAACTACCTAAGGTCTGGAGGAAAGGGTGCAGGTGCCTTAGAATTCCCTGAAAGATGCTGAGCCAGCCCCACTTAGACGAAGTACTGAATACACGTTCATTCTGGGCAGACACCCACCTACAGTGTGGCAGAAAAAGCACAGTTTTCACAAACACCCTGTGACAGTGAGACCCTTAGAACTTACCCCGTGTCCCAGAGGAGGTGATGCACAGGGCATCGTGGCCCAACCTCCCTGTCCACATTCTGTGTCTGCACTCAAGCAAGAAACCATCCAAAATATTTGGACAAAAAATAACAAGTAGCTGGGCGCCGGTGGCTCACATCTGTAATCCCAGCTACTCAGGAAGCCGAGATCAGGAGAATTGTGGTTCGAAGCCAGCCCCAGGTAAAAAGTTCTCAAGACCCTATCTTGAAAATACCTAACACAAAGAAAGGCTGGTGGAGTGGTGCAAGTGGTAGAACTCCTGCCTAGCAAGGGTGAGACTCTCAGTATGGTAGAGTGTACTGATCACACATACAACTTGTTTTAGCTAGTATTCAATACCAGGCCACGCGATTACATAAGGAATTGAAGCGTCCGCAGACTCCGGACTACACGGGGTTCTAAAGGAGATCCCCAGGGATACCCAGAGACACCCATACTTGTTTCAAGTGCTTGGTGGCTCAAACACCCCAGGTCTGAGTCCCAGAAATGGGTCCCATCAGAGACATTTTGAAAGCTCACTCCAGGCAGCCAGTTTCCGAGCTGGTGTCTCTGCTCCGTGTGGACCCTGCAGGGACCACTGTCGCCATGCCCTGCTCACCTGGGTCCCCCGCTGAGCCAGGATTCTCCTGTGATCCCTCGGGCTTGGGGGTTCATCCTCCTGCACAGGCTCTGAGGACCGAGCCAGGGCTGTTGATGGAGGCCCCTCATCCATGTCCGTGTGGGGTCCACCCTCGCCATCGGTGTAGGCACCCTCGCCATCAGTGTAGACACCACCCTCGCCATCCGTCTCCTCATAGTCACTGTTGGCCCGACTGTCGCAGCTGAGGTCCGCAGAGCTGTCAGCCAGGCCTCGGCGGGGCAAGTCCAGGTTGTCCTCCAAGGAGCCGTCCAGCTGTGGGTGGATATGGTCGCTGTGGCCAGCTCAGCTGAGCTGAGACAGCCCCCCTGCCCTGGCTGGCCGAGACCCCAGCTCAGGATGCTATCTTTAAACTGCTGTCCCAACCAGGCAAAGACCTGACCCCAGACCTCACTCAAGTGCAGCTTAACCCTGGGTCCCAGGACATCTGACCATCAGCCTCCATCCAAAGCTGACGAGCCCCAAACCTCAGCTGCACCCCATTCCCCAAACTGAGTTTTCAATCTCATCTCACTCTGAAGGGCAACCACCTCGGGTTGGACTCTGACCCTGGCCAGACCCTGACCACCTCAGAGCCTCCAGACCCCACAGGGGCCCCATGCCTGGCACCTGGTCCTCAGCTGTCCAGATGGGCCGTGTCTGCTGCTCTCGGATGGCGTCCTTGACCTCCTGGTACCAGGTGTCACCAGTGCCATGCAGGGGGACGGTCGCTGCGGGAAGAGGGTGTCAGCATGGCCAGGGGTCACTTCAGAACCCCCAGCCCCTAACCACCCCCTCCCGGCTCCCAGCCACCTGTGAAGAGGTGGGAACTGTGTTTCTGCAGCTTCTGAGCCTGGGCATAGAGGCGGCGGGTGCTGCGGCGGGAGGCTGGGGCCAGCCATTCTCGCAGGGCCTTGAGGGCTGGCCGGCTCTCTGGGGTGCAGAAGATGACAATGGGGTAGTACTGCACGTAGTTGAGGCGCTCAATGGCTGAGGGGGTCACATCCAGGAGCGCATGCTTATCCTGGACCAGGACAAAGTGGAGAGTGACAGGACAGTGAGACAGAAAAATGGAAAGACACAGAGTCTGAGGTCAGAGCGGACCCCGCCTCTCACATCCATACCCCAGCAATTTCAGCTCTGTGCCTCTGACCAAGCTGTGTCTCTCCCAGCCCCCCCCCATCTCACACAGCATCTGAGAAAAGACCACGTGGGTTGGACACCCAAGCCTCAGTTTCCCCTTCCATGAGCAGGGCTGTACTCACTTTCTCTGCGATCACCCGCACAGTGTCCAGTTTGATGATCTTGGATGGGCTGTCGGTCCTCATCACACTCTCTGTTGGAGAGAAAAGAGGCCAGCAGCGTCAGGAGCTGGCTCCCACCCCTCAACTTCATGTCTACCTGGCCCTTTCTTGCTCAAGAGCCCAACATGGCTCCCATCACCCCTCAGGGAAAAGGGTAGCACCAGCAGCTCCTGCTGGCCACCGCCGGGCACTGCACTCACCCATCCCTCCTGACCTTGTCCCCACTGGTGAGCAGGGGGGCCTAAGTGGCCCCATCTGGCAGATGTTGACGCTGAGTCTCGGGGACAAGGGGCAGCCTCCCACACTGAAGCTCTGTCCCCACCCCAACCCCTAGCACCCACCATCCTGTTTCCTGTCTCTGAGGCTCTGTGACTCTGGGGACCTCCTGTGAGTGGCGCCCTGCACTGTGTGTCCTTCCGTGTCACTCATTTCACGGAACAAGCACTGTGTCCTCGAGGCCCCTCCACATAAGAGCAGGTGTCAAAATTAATTTGCTTTTTGTGGCTAAGTAATATCCAGTGTGTGGGTGGACCACAGTGTGTGTCCATCTGTGGCCGCACACTTGGGCTGTTTCCACCTTTATTTTTTTTTTATTTACTTACTTATTGCGGTACTGGTGTTTGAACTCAGGGCTTTGCACTTGCTAGGCAGGCGCTCTACTACTTGAGCCACACCTCCAGCCCTTTAGGCTTCAGTTATTTTTCCAATAAGGTCTCACACTTTTTGCTTGGGGCTAACCTGGACTGAGATCCTCCTTCCTGAGATCCTCCTTCCTGAGATCCTCCTGAGTAGCTGGGACAACAGACGCACAATACCATGCCCAGCTTTATGGACTGAAATGGGGTCTTACTAACTTTTGGCCCAGGCTGGCCTCAAATCATGATCCTTCCAATCCCAGTCTCCCAAGTGGCTGGGATTACAGGCATGATGGCCTGTGTTTAATTACTTGAGGATCTGCCATACTGTTTCTTGCAGTGCCTACACCTCTCTGCATTCCCACCCACCATGTGTGAGGGTTTCAGCTGCTCCACACCTTGCCATCCTCTGCTCTTTTGTTCTAGTTTCTACTGTAGTCACCGAATCTGGTATGCACTGGTGTCTCATGGTGGCACAAATCTACATTTCGCTTACGACTAACAACATGGCATGTGACCTTGCCCTTTGAACCACACCCAGCCTCCTCCCAGGAACAGCCGTCCATGCTCCAACTCTCCCTGTGACCCATGTGTTAAGAAGGATTCTGAGTGGAGCCAGACAAACGGTGCTCAGATTGAGGATGTCTGACCTGGGCATTGGAAGAAAAAGTGATGAGGTGTCTGCCCCATGTTTGCTTCTGTTTTTCTAATTCAACCCCCCCACCAAAAAAAAAGCATCACTAGCAGCCCCCTCCTCAAGTTGGCCCTTGAACTGGCTTCTCACCTGCAATTTCAAACTGGTCAGGCATCTCTGCAGTCAACTTCTGCATAGCGATATCTGCCACAGGTCCCAGGATCACCACCGGGCGCTTGAAGCTGGCTGAGGGGCAGAGAAACAATGACAAAAATCAGGATCCTATTCTTGGCAAAGACTGCTAGTGTCTTTCGTGGCCAGTTCTCCATTTCCTCCATAGTAATATACAGCTGTGTCCATGGTGGACTAGTGAGATGAACTACATCTCCCAGGCTCCCATGCAGCTAGGTGTGACCATGTGACTGAGCTCCAGCCAATGGGGTGCAAGCAGAGCTGGTGTAGGCAATGCTGGGCTGTGCCCTCTACAGGCAGAAGCTGCCTTCCACCACGTGTGCCCAGAACCTTATTGAACCGTGCAGGAGGGCAAAAAAACAAGATGCGGCTCCGTGGAAGAGCGTGCGCTCGGCATGCATTCGACTCAGCACGGCACACGAAAAAGAAAACTTTATTTTTGAAGTACTGGGATTTGAACTCAGGGCCTCACACTGGCGAGGCAGGTGCTCTATCACATGACCCATGCCCCAGCCCTAAAAAGAAACTTCTACTTTGGGCCCTAGCTAACTCAGCAGTGAGCTCTAACTCATGAGCTCTAACTCATGGGCCACACCTGGCCCACTGCTTGTTTTTGTCAGTAAAATTTTATTGGGACACAGTCACATTTGTTGATGTCCTGTCTGTTGTAACCTTCAAGCCCAGCTAAGTAGCTGCAGTACAGGCTATCTGGCCAGGAGCCAGTGACTTCTTCTCCAACTTTTTGTTTTATTTCATTTTTGGTTTTTTTGGCTGGAAAAGTTGGCTGAGCCTTGGCCTAATGGATATGCCATTTTACTAAAGGGGAAAAAAAAGCATTGTAGGGGAAGAAAGTGGGGAGACTGGCGCCCCTCTGCACTGGATCCTGCTCTTTCTCCCTTCCTTCCAGGCCGATCTGTTTTCTCTTAGGAGAGCAGGGATTAAGGGTGAGCGCTTGCCTGGTACAGCCAAGGCACTGGGTTCAACCCCAGCACCACAGGGAAAGAAACCTTGGCACTTTCACCAGCGGGAGGGAGAAATGCAGTGTGAGGGCTGCGGTTTTAAGTTTCTCCCTCCTGCACAAGGGCAGGTCCCAGGGCATCTGTGGAGCTCAGTCCCCACCTGCCTGGGCCACCTGCTGTTCCAACTCCTCTCTGGTTTTACTTTAAGGCCACACCTGGTGATTAATCACTTAATCCCCTCCCCCTGGGGCCCTGAGGGAGTAATCTCCTCTCTGCTGGAAGCAGGAGTGAGGCAGGGTTTCTCAAACAGGTGCTGAATGTTGTGTTCCTGTGGGGGTTTTTTGTTTTGTTTTGTTTTGTTTTCAAATAACATAAACTTTACCACTTTAAACCTGCACATAAAATATACAACAGCTCGGTGGTTTTTAGTACATTCACAGAGTTGTGAAACCATCTTCATTCCAGAAGACTCCATCACCCAAAAGGAAGCCCTGTCCCAATGAGAAATCAGTCTCCCCAGCTCCTGGCCCCCACAAGTACACTTCCTGTCTCTGGATTTGCCTGTGGCCTTTTGTGTCTGCTTCTTTCACTGAGCACCATGTCCTCAGAGTCCCTCCACGTGGTGGCGTGGCTCAGAGCCTCTTCCAGTGCATGGCTGTTACGGTTTGGATATGAAATGTCCCCAAAGGTTAATGTATTGAAGGCTTGGTCCCCAATGCAGGGTTCAGAGGTGGGGTTTCTGGGGTCCCCAGGGATCCCCAAAATGAACGATGTCATTCATGGATTAATCCACTGATGGGACATAATGTCATGGGAGGTGGAGCCAGGAACTGGGTGCCTCTGAGGGCACCATCTTGTTGTCTCCCTCTCTGCTTCCTGGCCCCTGTGATGTGAACTCCACTACACCTTCCGCCATGATGCTCTGCCCAGCCTTGGGCCCAGAGTAATGCATCTAGGCAACCATGGACCGAAAACCCCGTAACTGTGGGCCAAAGTAAATCCTCCCTTTTTAATTCAATTTTACCACTTGAGCCACACCTCCAGTCCATTTTGCTCTGGTTATTTTAGAGACAGGCGGTCTCTCAATGTATTTGCCCACTCTGGCCTTGAACCTTGATCCTCCCAATCTCAGCCTCTCAAGTAGCTAGGATTACAGGCATGAGCCACTAGTCCCTAGCTAAACCCTCCCTCCTTTTAAGTTGTTCCTCTCAGGTGTTTTGTCACAATGACAAAAGGCTACGTGATATGCCAATGTGTGGAGGGACCACACTGTGTGTGTCCATCTACCCAGGGACACTTTGGCTGGGGCCACCATTGGCTGCTGTTTCTTGGGTGCTGTGAACATTCATGCACAGGTTTTTGGTGGAACACCTGTGATCAGTGTGCATGTATTTTAAGTGTGTCTGCTTTTACCCCAAGCCAACAATCCAGCAACGGCAACCCCAATAACTGTACATCCTGCTCTCCTGTCCTGTCTCTGGCCACACAGGCCATGTGTGGCTACGGAGCACTTGAGGCTAGGAATGTCTCCTCACCAGATCATGAAGACTGCACAAAGAAAGAAGGTGAAATAGTTCATTAATAATTCTGATATTAGACTGAGTGTGATAGCTCACACCTGTAATCCCAACTACTTGGAAGGCAGAAGAGATTGCCAGTCCAGGCAAAAAGTTAGCGAGACTCCACCTCAATAAACGAGCTGGGTGTGGTGGTGCACACCCGTCATCACAGATACTCAGGAGGCATAGGAAGAATATGGTATAGGCCAGCCCAGGCAAAGCGTACAAGATCCGATCTGAAAAATAACTAAAGCAAAAAGGGCTGCAGGCATGCCTCAAGTGGCAGAGTGCCTGCCTAGCAAGAGCAAGACCCTGAGTTCAAACCCCAGCACTGCCAAAAAAGAAATTAAAAATCTGACGGTGGACACGTGTGGCCCCAGCTATTCAGGAGGCTGAAGCACGAGGATCAGCTGAGCCCAGGAATTCAAGGTCAACCTGGACAACATAACAAGACCTGGTGACTCACACCTGTAACCCTAGCTACTTGGGAGGCTGAATGAAATAGGAAAGATCAAGGTTTAAGGCCATCCCGGGCAAATGGTTCATGGGACCCTCACGTCCAAAATAACCAGAGCAACCTGGACTGGAGGTGTGGCTCAAGTGGTAGAGTGCCTGCTCTGCAAATGGGAAGCCCTGAGTTCAAATCCCAGTCCCACCCACCCCCCAAAAAGCAGTAACACCGAAATAATAACAGTTCTCTATTGTGGCTCTGGATTCCATCCCTAGCACGGTCTAAAAAAATTATTTTTTTGATGTTGTCTGAAATTATACTCTTTTAAATGCCTTGTGGCTTTTCGGCTAAGATCAAGTGAACTTATTTTTTTTTTCTTTTTTTTGTTTTTTCTTTTTGAGACAGGGTCTCGATATGCAGCCCAAGCTGGCCTCCACCTTATGATTCTTCTGCCTCAGCTTCCCGACCAACAGGGTCACAAGTGTGTGCTGCCACATGTGGCTTCGAAATTAAACTTTGGGTATAGCATGTCAAACAAAATTATTTTCAACTGTATCTTTTCCCTTTTTTAAGATTACAGTCATCCCTCGGTATGGACCTGGGCTTGGTTCCAGGTTCCCCCCAACGTGTACCAAAACACCACATATGCCCAAGTCCCTTCTGAAAAATGACATAGCATTTGCACAGAACCTCGGCACATCTTCTCATGGACCTTAAGTCATTTCTAGATGACTTATAACACCTGACACCATGTCCATGCTATGCAAATGGTGGTGCTATGGGGTAGTTTAGGGAAAAATGACAAGTAAAAAGTCTGGACATGTTGAGCACAAACGCAACTGTTCTTGGAATATTTTCAACCTATGCTGGACTGAATTGCTGGCTGTGGAACCTGTGCACACAGAGGCTGGTTACATACGTATTTATTCCTCACATTCTAGTTCTGTTGGAAATACAAACAGATTTGGGGTTTTTTTTCTGGCGGTGCTGGGGTTTGAACTCAGGGCCTCAAGCTTGCTAGGCAAATGTACTTAAGCAACTCTGCTAGCCCTGGAACCAATCTTAAGCAAATGACCTGACTCTTTTCCCATCTCGCTCTGCCCCTAAATGACCACGAGCAAGTGCCTTTGGTGGAAGGTCAGTGGCAAGGTCAAGGTTTGGAGGCTGACACTGGGGACAGGTGCCTCTGGCCCCCACACCCCTGCTAGGGCCCCCCACCCCCACCTGGCCCACCTTCTCGCAGCACCACACGTTCGTAGGGCGGATAGCGGCCCTGTCTGGTCAGTGCCGACAGGTCCTCACGGCTCCGCTGAGTTGACTTCTTGGCCCCCCGACGAAGACCCCGCAGCCGCCAGAACTCGGCCCTTGCATTGGAGCCCGAGGACGAGCCAGGTCCCATGCCCACGGCCCGCTGTGCAGCCTCCAGGCTGGCCAGCTGCTCGGCCCTGGGAAGGAGGACGACACTGAGCATGAGGATGGCAGAACACGCCCCAAAGGTGGTCACATCCTAACTCCCAAGACCCGTGGCTGTGTCACTTCCCAAGGTAGAAGGGAGCCTACAGGTGGGATCAAGTACAAGACCCTGAGCTAGGATCATCCTGGCTTATCCGGGGCCCAGTGTCACCATGGGGTCCTCATAAAAGGAAGAAAGCTAGCAGAATGGCTCCGGTGGTAGAGCACATGCCTAGCAAGCATGAGGCCCCAAGTCAAACCCTAGTACCTTGGGCAAACCAATTTGCAGCTCATACCTGGAATCCTAGCTACTCAGGAGGAAGAGATCAGGAGGATCATGACTTGAGGCCAGCCTAGGCAAATAGTTTGCAAGACCCTATCTTGAAAATACCCATCACAAAAAAGGGCTGGTGGAGTTGATCAAGCAGTAAGAGCACCTGGCTAGCAAGCGTGAGGCCCTGAGTTCAAACCCCAGTACCGCCCAAAAAAAGGGGGCAGGAGGTCACAAACAGAGACTGGGGGACTCTGAGCTGCTGATTGACAGGGGAGGAAGGGGTAGTGAGCCAAGGGATATGGGACCTCTAGGAGCCAGGTCAGACCCCCAGAACTGTGAGTTAAAGTCACTAAGGTTAAGGTCACTTGGTACAACCATGGGACACACATCTATCAACTATGTCCCAGCCTGACTGAACCATGGGATCATGCCAGTTCCAATGGGGAAACTGAGGCAGTGGCCAGGTGGCTTACCTGCTCTGATTGGGAATGACACCACGTTCTTGCTCCCGAAGGTCACGACCCATGCGTGCGGCCAGCCAGTAGCCTCCGCGGCCCTGGCTCTGCCCAGCACCTGGGTACAGTGTGTCCACAACGTGGAAGACGTCACCACGGGTGAAGCCCAAGCCAGAAGGCGGGCTGGGCTCCAGCTCAAAGTGTGTGCGGATGTAGAAGGAGTCGCCTACGCGGGACTGCACCATCTTCCGGAAGACTGGGGACAGAGAGACCTTTGTGAGCCTCTCCATCCCACATGACTGCTCCCCCAGGAGCCCTCAGGACCACGAGCAGTGAGGACGCAGAGGACACACACCATGCCCTGCGCTCAGCACCGGGCCACACAGTCAGGTGGCCAGTGCTCTGTGGGCACGCACAGTGACACAGGGCCATGGATGCGCACACACTCACTGTCCTGCTTCCGCTGGGTCACTAGCTCTATCTCCTCTCCCGGTGGTAGCCCCTGGAGGAACTGCACGGCCTCCTCCCGAGTCAGATTCTGGAACGGTGTGTCATTCACCTGCCAGGTAGGAGATGCAGTGAGGGGACCAGGCCTGAGCATCACCCACTGCACAGGAGACCCCAGAGGACACCTGGGAACAGCTTGACTTAATGGCCTCCAGGACTCCTGTCCGTGGGAGCCACCAGGGAGGGCTGTGACTGGGCACCACCCAGTAGCAGTGTCACACTGACAGGAACAACTGATGGTGTCACAGCGACATGAGGTCCTCAGCACAGAACCCAGGCACCAGCCCGCAATGTCTGTGGTAGAGGCAGGAGGATCTCAAGTTTGAGACCAGCTTGGTCTACACAGTGAGACCCTGACTCAAAAAAAAAAAACAAACAAAAAGATGGGCTGATGGCTCATACCTGTAACCCTAGCTACTTGGGAGATCAGGAAGATCCAGGTTCAAGACCAGCCCAAATAGTTCACCAGACCCCCATCTCCAAAATCACCAGAGCAAAATGGACTTCAGGTGTGGTTCAAGTGAAACCCTGAGTTCAAATCCCAGTCCCACCAAAAAGAGAGAGAGAGAGAGAGAGAGAGATCATGACAGGAAAGACAAGGCCACAATCCCACAAAGCAGGAACACAGAAAGAACACCTGCCCTGGGGAAGCGTGGCAACAAGGCCTCCACCTGGCCATGGGGTTTCCACTTAGGGGACCCAGAAGTGGGGTTGTGGCTCCTTCACAAATTCTCCACTCAGATTTTAAGGTTGTGACACCAAAAAGATCATAAGAGCAAGAAAGGGGCCAGGACTGGGAGAAGGAGCTGGACTGGGCTCTGACAGACTCATCAGGCCATCAGGAAGAACCAGGCCAAGCCAGGATAAGGATACAGGGTGACTCAGAAAACGACAAGATGGAGGGGAAGAAGGGACAAGTAACCTGGTTTGGACACACTGTCCATGTGGTCAGGACACAGTCAACATGGCTGTGACAGGAAAAAGGAGCCTGTGACCTTGCTAACAAGACAAAGTTATGACCAGGATGTAAGGTTGTGACCTGGACAATGAGATCATGACCTAAACGAGGCTGTGACTCAGGCAGGAGACATAAACTGCTAAGTGCCCACTTGGGTGTTGAGTCCCCCGGGGGACCCCAGAGGAGGACACAGAGACGGTATAGTCACAGGCCGGACCCAATGTACCCTCCGCCCACCAAAGTGTGCTGACTGTCCCTGGGTCACCTGTAGGATCTCGTCACCCTCCAGGATGCCTTGTCCATCGGCTGGGCTGCCCGCCTGCACCCCCGACACGAAGATACCCACGTCATTGCCCCCGGCCAGCCGCAGCCCAATGTGTGTGCCCTTGGGGAAGCAGACGACCCGTGTGTCAGGGCTGTACCTGTGGGAAGGGGCACAGGTCAGGCCAGGGCAGTGATGGGCTGTGCCAGGCAGCCTTGGCAAGCCCGCCCCCTACCCGGTGCCTCAGTTTCCCAAAGAGCACAGGTTGCAGTCATTCCATTCAACCAAACAGGAGAAGGTAGGGTTGCAGGGATGGGGAAATGTGGCCCCAAATGGGGGGGGTTCTCAGGCCACTCGGCTGTTTCTTGGGTACACACCCACGTTCCTCCAGGCTCTGGCAGCTGGGCACCTTGTAAATGTCATAGCCACTGTTCCTGGGCGAGTCTGGAATAGAAAAGCCGGTCTCTTCCCAAACTGCTGTGCCTGTCCAGCCTCCTGACCTTTGCTTTGGATGTCCTGCCCCTCCAAGCACCGTCCCCACCTCCTCTCACGCTGCTGACACAGCCCTACCGGTAAGGATCAGAAAAGCCAGGAGCACAGTGCTCAGAGTCACCGCCCAGTGCCCTCCACCCACCTGGTTCGGAGATGGTTCTGGAATCCACCGACCTTTCCCGCCGAGGGCTCTCCCTGGGGGGACAGACTCCAGGTGAGGCGGGGGGGGGGCGGCTGTCCATGGACAATTTGTTTGCTTGTCTTGGGTTTTTTAGACAGGGTCTCTCTGTGGAGCCCAGGCTGGCCTGGAACTCTCCATCCTCTTGCCTCAGCCCCCCCAAGCACTAGGATTACAGGCAGCTGCCACCACACCCGACTTATTTTATTATAAAAAAGCCGCAGAAGTCAGACACCAACACGTTCGCCTGTCATCCCAGGAAGTGCAAGTTCCAGGCCAGCCTGGCTACACAGTGAGGCCCTCACTCAAAAACCAGAAAAACCCATAAAGGTTGTTATGGACGTCAAATTTATGTCCTCACCCGGCACCACATTTACGTCTTAAGCCCTAACCTACAGTGGGATGTAGTGGGAGGTGGAGCCTCTGACTTCAGTGGGGTTGGAACAGGAAAGAAACAGAAAGAAAGTGCTCTCTGGCCCCACTGTGAGCACACAGACCTGAATCACCAAGACCTTGAACTGTGAGCAATGAATTCCTGGCATCCCAGGCCCCCTGTCCACACTAGCGTGTGGACAGGCCTCAAGTGACAATTTTCTGCCAAGATATGAGGTATCCAGCACGTACAGACCAGGGCTGTGATCTGAAGCTGGACACGGGACAGAGGCAGTGGGAGCCTTGAGACTGAGCTGTAAAAAAAGAGGACACGCCCTCCTGTCCACCCTCAGCCAGAAGCCACACCCAGTGTCCCTTGCCCCACGACCAGTACAAACACAGGGGAGTCTGTCGGGCTGGCCTCTGGGCTTCGCTGCCTGTGCCTCGGTGGAGGTGGGATGTGAGATGGTGGCGCCTGTGATAATTCCGAGGTGAGGTCCGAGATGTCTGTGGGGAGGGGGTACCTGGTCAGCCATGGCCACAGGGCCAGCATGGACCCATTTCATAGAGGGGAGCGACGAGGCCTCCCAAACAAAGGGCCCCAGGTCAGCCACAGCCCCAGTTAGAAGATCCAGCCTTGAGGGCTGGATGTGGTGACTCAGGTCTGGAATCCCTGACCCCTGTGCAAGGCCAGTTGGGGCAAAAGTTAGGGAGACCTCATCTCAACCAGTAAAAACCGAGTGTGACAGCACATGCCTGTCACCCCAGCTATGCATAAACAGAAGGATCACGGAGATGCTATCCCAAAAATAACTCAAGCAAAAAGGGCTGGGGACATGGTTCAAGCAGTAGAGCACCAGCCTAGCAAGTGTGAGACCCTGAGTTCAACCCCCAGTACTGCCAAAAGTAAAAAAGATCCAACCCTGACTTGCTGTGTGGCAGACCTGGCTTAAAGATGTTTGCTTGGCCCTTCTGGTGCTCCCCACCAACCCTGTCCTTCCTCTAGCCGCTGCCCAGCCCCTCACCCTCCAGAAGAGAGCTGTCACTGTCACTGACAGCCGGGGGAATGTTCACCAGGAACTGCCCTTGGTCCCTGAGCACCAACAGGGTCAGCTTTCCCTCGGACTTCTCAATCAGCCGCCGCGTGTCGCTCAGTGACAGATTTTGGCTGGACACCCCGTTGATCTGAAAGGGACCAGGAAGGAACAGAGAAAGAGAAGTGGGTGAGAGATACTAGAAGCAGATGGCTTGGCTGGGGGGACTAGAAACAGACAATCTCCAGAGGTCACTAAAAACAGTTCCTCTGGACAAGTGTTAGAACTAGATTCCTGCTGCAGGATGGAGACTGTGAAAAGAACTGACTGTCCACAGAATTCTAGAGGAAAAACTAGAAATGAGTGGTCTCTCCTCTCCCCCAGGGAGCAGAAATTGTTCACTGGGCAGGAGGACAGATCTGAGGGTAACACTAGAAACCGCTAATTAAAGACGAGGGAGCGGACGCTGAGGTGTAGAAACAGACACGCGGAGGTGGATTGGAAACACACAATTCCTAGAAAGGGCTTTGTATCATCTCTGCCTACACCAGGAATCCATTCCTATCATTGTCCCTGGGGGTGTCTCTTTTCAGGAACCCTAGGGATTGTGAGTTTCTAGTGCTCCCCCAGTTACGTTTCTAGTGTCTGTCCCCACCGCTAGAAACAGACAGTTCCTCAGGGTCACTAGAAACAGATGACTCCAAGGAGTTATCTGGAAGTGTTTTGGAACTCCAGTCCTGGGAATCACTAGAAACAGACTTTCAGGGGCAGAACTGAGAAAGAATCCAGTCCTTGAGGCAGGTGGTTTCTCTAAGTCTGCTTTCTGGGCCGTTAGCCTCTTGGGGAGAGTCCAGGAATCAGCACTGCAGCCAGCACGGAAAGCCGTCAGGGTACTAGAAACAGCCAAATCAGTGAGAGTACTGGAAACCAAACCGACATTTGGCAGTGGAAATGCAGAAGCTGGAGAAAGCAGGGCTCTGTGCCTCACCATCCCCATCAATACAGGAAGAAAATGGCAGTCAGGGCCTGGCTCTGGAAATCTGGCTGACTGATTGGTGCCACTGCCCGCCCCAGCCTCAGTTACCCCACAGATGAGAAAGGCCAGGCTTACCTTCAGGATGAGGTCCCCCTCCTGCAACCCTTGGCTCCGGGCAGCCAAGCCGGAGTCTGTGATGTGCTTAATGTAGATCTGACTACCCAGTTTGACCCCGAACTCTGTAGGGAGGAGGGAAACTGAGGCAGGGCTCTGGAGACAGGTGCCTGCTGTAATGATGGCATCTGGGACCCAACCCTGCTGTCCCATCACCCAATCACATCACCACAGGCTTTGATGTCCCACCCTCCAGACAGGCTCTGCAGGACCACTGGGTGACATCATGGGAACACTGATGCCACATGTGGGTCTGAGATTCAACGGCCTTGGTGACCTCTACATAGGGGGAGAGGTCAGGCCCTATGTGACCATGCACAGGTTAGTGACAAGTCAGTACTAGTGACACCATGATTACAGAGATGTGACTGTCACTGCAGTCATGATGGGGGACAGGAGTAGTAGCTCACGTCTATAATCCCAGCTACACGGGAAGCAGACAGAGGTAGGAAGATTATGGTCAGAGGCTTGCCAGGCAAAAATTTGAGACCCTATTCAAAAATTAATTAAAGCAAAAAGAGATGGGGGTGTGGCTCAAATGGCAGGGTGCCTGCCTAGCAAGTGTGCGACCAAAACTCTGAGGTCACAATACTGTCGTTAAATTCAGACCAGGGCCAGAAATTACATTTCTATTGATGTGGCCATGATGAAATGTTTGAGTGGACTGCAGCTGCTGTAACAAAGTTAGTGGCTTTAAAACAACACAAATCTGTCATCTCATGGTCCTAGAGGGCAGGAGTCTGACAGGGACCTCCCTGGGTTGTAGTCCGGGTGCAGCACGGCAGGGCAGCTCTGGGGAGGACCCGTGTCCACCCCCGTCCCCACTCCTCGAGCCCCGCATCCCTTGGCTCATGGCCCCTTCCTCCCTCTTCAGAGCAGCAGCTCAGGGTCCCCCAGTCCCTCTCTGCCTATGACTTCCTGCCTCCCTCTTACAAGGACCCTGTGTGACACTGGGCCCCAGACAATCCATGGTGATCCCAGCTCATGGCCTGGGAATCGCAACATAGATGTCTCTGGGGGTCATTCTTTGGCAGACCACACCCAATAAAAGTCCAGACACCGCATCAGTGACATTTTCCCTTTCGGGGGACACCGAGCCCCACTCCCCCTCACCTTCGCTGTTTCTCCTTTTCACCAGCACGGACTTCACTGGCTTCATGATCACGTCCTGCCTTGGGAGCCGCTTGTAGCCAGACACCAGGGCCAGCCCATTGGCCTCAGAGCCACCACCCGGGCTGCGGCGTCCGTGGCTGCCAGCCCGGCTCCGGCGCCCTGCCCTTGGCCGGCGGGATCGCTCATCCCAAGAGTGGCCTGAGCCACTGGAAGAGCCACCTTCATAGCCCCCGCCGTGGTCAGCCTCCTCATCCGAATCCTGGTGCCCTGGGCCAGGCTGGCTGGCCTTGGTGGAGGGTAGCTGGACCTTGCGGGGACGCTTCACTGTCTGGTAGGAGAGGGGACAGGACAGGTCAGCTAGAAGCAGGGGGCTGGGGGAGGCTCTGCACCATCCACTGGGTGGCCCTGGGGACCCCAGTCCCTCTCTGGGCTTCAGCACCCAGGCTGTGAGTTGAGGACAAGGACTGGGCATAGCTCAGTGCCTGGCACACATGCGGGAGGGTTCCACCCAGCACCATAGAAAACCCAGGAAATCAGGTTCCAACAGTCGACACTTCTACACCAAGAGTGACAGGACCAGGGACAGGGTGGGGTTGGGGATCCAGAGACCCTGTGATGCTGGGGCTGCCCCTCCCCCCTCCACCACTCACGATATTGGCTAACTTGGTGCAGGTTTTGAGAATCTGAATGGCAAAGGTGGACGTGACATTTTCCACAGAGACCCCGTTCACCATGACAATGCGGTCCCCTGTCCTGAGGGAGAGGACAGATCTCAGGGAGGAGGCCTCATGGCCCCATACCTTGCTTGTCCCCACAGACCTGCAGCACCTCCAGGTCTACAAGGCCTGCTTCTGACTTGTTCATGTCCCCGGGTTCAGAAAGACACTTATTCATCCTTCCTGCCTCAGTTTCCTCATCTATGAAATACAGTAAGATGGAAGTCCCCCTTTCTGAATCTGGGCTGCACTGGGCCATATCACCTGTCAGCCACTCAGGGCTCAAAGTCATTTATTTTTATACAGAATTCCTAGGAACCTCCTGCCACCTAGGGCTGAGGCCACTGGGTCTTCTCTCCTGCCAAAAAAAGATGTTCCCAGGACTTTCCATTTCAGGAGCACCCTGGGGCCATAATGAAGAACTGCACTCAAGGACGAACCAGGAACCGCCTCAGGGAAGTTAGGGCTGAGTGGCTGCTGCCAGAGCCAAGTCCTGTGTTGACAGAGCCACAAGTGCCAGGCGTTTTCCCTCCTCCTGGCTTCGGCTACGCCAACCCGCCCTCCCCCTGTGGAACCACAATGGTGGCCTGGTTCTCACTGGAGCCTGCCCTCGGCCGGTCCTCCGGGCACCACATCCGACACGATCACGGATCCACTGGGCCGGTCCCGGCCTCCGGATATGGCGATGCCAAAGCCACGGCGGGGGTCCTAAGGGACAGGGGACAAGAAGAGCTTTACTTCTAAGACAAAGGGGCTTCTTTCTTGGAGCTGGGACAAAGCCACCATAGTCCCACCACCTCACCAGGTGAGGCTCACCTTGCTCAGCGTGGCTGTATGCTGCTCCCAGATAGTCAGCTCCTCCATGTCTGCCACCTGGGTTGAGGGACAGGGAAAGGGACACACATCAGGACACACAGGCTCACTGGAGAATCCAGATGTTTTCTCATCTGCAAAATGGGTCCCTCCCTCCCTCCCCTGCCCACAGCCCTCCATGGCTCCCGCCTCCCTCAGGCTCAAAGCCCAAGTCCTCCCTGCAGCCCACAGGGCCCTGCACAACCTTCCTGTCCCCTCCCTGCCTCCCTCCTCCCTCTGTCCCCCTCGCTCCCTCTGCTCCAGCCACACACGGCCCCCCTTGCTGCTCTTCCATCACCCAGGCTCGTCCTGCCCCAGGGCCTTTGCCCAGACTGTGCCCTCTAGAATTCTGTTCTCCAAATCCCTCACCTCCCTTCATGGTCCTTGCCCACTTCCCTGGTGAGGTGCCCTGACCACTCCATTTAGAATTGAACCCCTCTCCATCGAAGAGTCACTCTATTATCCCATTACAGGTGAGGAAACGGAGGCACCAGCAGCAATCCTCAGGAGGCTGAGGCAGAAGGATCAAATTCCAGACCAGCGTGAGCTGCACAGTGAGACACTGTCTCAACAGAAGCAGACCAAGATCCAGCCTCCAAGACAGAGAGAGATCCAGCCACCATCGTGAGAAGTAATAATAATGACGGATCTCCTTTGTGTCGAACGAATAAGCCCTACTACTCTGCTGGCTGCCAGCAAGAGCACTTGTACCCACTCATCGAATTCCCAGAATGACCCGAGGAAGTGGCCCTGCTATGAGTCCTATTTCACGGGGGAAGAAAGGGAGGCAGAGAGAGGCACAGTAACTCACCCCAGGTCACACAGCACCTCTCTCCCAGCCTTGGCTCTTAACCACCACCCTTCAGTGGCCTCAGCTCATTTCCTTTTTCCTTCTGGGCTTATTTTTCAAAACAGAATCTTTCTCTTGCTTTGATGATTACGTGATTAAATGCCTCTCCCCTGCCTGGAATTTTTATTTCTTGGCTTTACTTTAAGAAACAGCCCCTGGGTCGCCGGGGCCCCTTGGGGAGCTGGGTACAGGTGGCTGGGCCTGTCTCTACTTGTGTGGGTTCGTCTCTGCGGATACCAGAGGCTTTCCCTAACACCACCCAGGGCTCCCCATTGCCCTAGGATAATGCCAAGCCTGGTCCACCACAGCTTGGCTCATCTCCAGACCTCTGCCCTGGCTGTTCCTGTGCTCCAGGACTCTGCTTGCCTGTCCTCTGCCTCTTGGGACTTGGCTCAAATGCCTCTCCTTGGGAGGTCTCTCCTTGACCACCCTAGAATCTCAGTAACCACCAGGCACCGTATCATCTCTCCTGATTCATTTATTTGCTTTTATTCAGAGCATCTAAAATCATCTTTATGTCATTGAATCATCACTTGGTAAGTTTCTGATCCTTCTTCCCCAAACTCTTACTCATTCTTCACAACCCCAGGCCTACGGTCTCATCCTCCATTCCCAATGCATGCATCTCACATCCCTCCCTCTGGCCCAACCCTGATTATTGGGGGCTTCTCCCCCACACTCCCCCCAAGTTTGGTAGGCTGGGCTGCGGGCTCTGGGACCCCCACATTGTCCCCACAAGGCCGTGCACTGGGGGAAGGCTTTGAGGAATCAGTGAAGGGTGGCTGTTCCAGTACTGGCTCAGCCAGGTGTGTCCTGACAGTCCCGCCCCACCAGGTGAACTGGGAAGGCACCGTCCCGGTCCCGCCCCCTGCCACCTGTGGACACAAACACCAGGAGGAGCCGCCCACGGGGACTAAGGAGGAGTCGCCAGCCCCTGGCCGGGTCTCTGCTGCCTCTCCCCTCCCCCACCCCCAGGAACAAAGGCGGGGGAGGCTGGAGGGGCCGGGCGCTGTCCCTTGTGTCCTGTCAGGAGGTGGCCGAGGGACTTTCAGACCCCGGCCGTGTGGCCCACTGCAGCCTGTTTGCCGCTCACCCGGGTTCAGGCTCCTGGACGGCAGGGTAAAGTCGCTCTAGAGGTGCAAGGACCGCCATCGCTCCCCAGTGCAAGACGGGGTGCAGACCCCACCCCTCGGTGCAGGTCAGCAACTCTGCACACAGTAGCCGCCTACTAAACGCAGATGGCCTCCCACAGCCTATGCACTTAGAAGCACCCCGCCCCGCCAATGAATCACTGTGGGCTTCTCACTGCGCCCCTACTACACGCAGGGCGCTCCCACCGCGGCCCCCGCAGGACCCCGGCCCCACGCCCTCTGCAAACCACAGAGGCACGGAGCATGGGCGCCCTGGCTCCACGTTACACCGCGGCCAGAACACCGGGATTCGAACCCACGGCTCCGGGGACAGGCGGCGCGGAGGAAGCCCCAGAAGGGTGAAGGGGCGCGGGCACGCCTCGCCGTGCAGCCCCCGGGCCTCAGTTTCCCCACCTGTTCTGTAGGCAGAGGGTGTTCTGGGGTCTTGGGTTCAAGCCCTCACCATAGGGGGTGCCCTCTTCCCCCCAACCCTCGGCGGGCCACTTGCCTGGAATCTCACCGCCATGTCCACCCCCCGCTCCGCAGCGGCGCCTACCCGCGGGGGGCCTGGAAACCGTCAATCCGCCCCCACCCCGGCCCAGGGGACGCAGCTGGGGAGGGTCGCGGCGGAGCGGGGGTCCCGCTGTCGCCCTCCTCCGGTCCGCTTCGCTGCTCCCGGCGGCACCTGTCCCTCTTCCTCCTCCAGGTCGGCGGCCGCCCCGCCCCGGCCCGGCCCGACACGCCTCCGGGAAGCGGCGGAGGCGGCCCCCGCCCCGTGTCCTCCATCCTCGGCTCCAGGCCGCCGGACACAGAAATCCGCACCGGGTTTTCCGAGGAGCCGAGCCTTATCCCGTGGCCGGAGCTGGAATGCAGCCCCAATGAAGCTGCGAAGAAGACCCGGCTGGGAGAACAGCCCGCGGGCGGAAGGGAGCCGGGGAAGTGGGAGGTTTGTCCATCCGTGAAACGGGCACATTTTGAGGTTCATCTGAGAGGTCTCTTGAATCAAGAGCTCGTGAAGAGCCAGCAACCTCGGGCTCTTATCGGAACACCCACTCTCCAGGAGGATGGTCCATATCCAGGCTCACAGCAGTTCACAGGGGAAACTGAGCCCCAGGAGGCCAGGGACATGGGCTTTATGAAAAGGCCCAGCTGCGGCCTCTCAGCTCGGACTTCACATCCAGCTCTGGGCTAAGAGGGGATGGAGGGGATGGAAGGTGACTGAGAGCGGGGCAGGGCGGGAGGACCTTCTCCAGGCTCCTGGGGGAAAAGGTCAGCCTCCTCCTACACCTGGCGTCGCCCCCAGGCGCCCCGGGTTCAGAAAGACTGGACCAGGACCAAAGCAGGAAAGCCTCTACCTGGGCGTGGGGGAGGGAGGAAGTCACCTGGATGGGTGGGGCTGCCTGTGGCTCCGCCCACACATTCCTCCCTACTTAAAAAAACAGCCCCTGCCCCACCCCAGCTCAAGGTCCAAGGGGTAAATATGGGCTCGAACACCTTCCCCTCCCTGGTCTGCAGTCAGGCTGGGCAGCAAGAGGAAGCAAGAAATGGGAGGCAAAGCAGAAACACAGGGAAGTTCGGGAAGGCTTCCTGGAGGAGAAGGACATCCCAACTGGGGTTTTGAAGGCTGGATAAGAGTTTGCCAAGTGACCAGGACACAATATCATCAAAATCTTTGAAGCCCTCAAAAGTTATTTCTCATTCCATCCACTGCAATATTAGTCAGGTGTCTCAACTAGCTAGTCAGCCCCTCAAGGATCCCTGAAAATCCCCAAGGCAACAAAACCTTTACTGAAGGTTATCCCTTCTGGGGACCCACTTGGATCCTTGGGCCGAGGGGGTTCTGAATTTGCTGTGCGACCTCAGGAAGTTACTTCCCCTGTCTGTGCACTCCTCCGCATCTGCAATTGAGGAAAATGATAGCTTCTACATCACAGAGGGGTCAGGAGGACGAAAGATGCTTAAAATAAGACGCTAATGTGCCCTGCTGCTCTACCCCAGCTGTGGGACCTTGTGCAAGCCGTTTAAACAAGGGGGAGAGGGGACAGAGACTCAGTTTCCCTGTCATAAATGGGGAGAATTACTGTAACTGTTTCCAAGCACTAAATGAGGGGTGGCTGTGTATTATCAGGAAATGTGACACAGCCATTTTTAAAACGATGAAAGAAAGGCTCAGAGACAGCTCAGTGCTCGCCAGGGTTGCACAGCAGGAGTCCTTCACCCCAAGATGGTGGAAGCACCATGGACCCAAACGTGACGCTTAGGGACCAGAAGGCAGCGCACTCACACAAAAGCTTAGGTAGGAGAGGGCTGAAGTTTTTTTAAATAGCCATCTGCTTGTTTTAATGAGTCATAAGAAAATCATAAATTCCAGGCCGCCCCCACATGCAGATGGCAGCTGTGATTGCAAGGGGGACGGGTGACCTGCAGGTGAGAGAAGTTGGTGGACAAGCCAGCATTTCCGTCCCCGCCACCTCCAGACCTCGGCACGGCGTCTATAAAATAGATGGGTGGACGCCCCAAGTCCCGTCCTGCTTACTCACTCTCAGCCCAGCTCTGTTACACGCAGCACCATGCACCCATTTGGCAGCCAAGAAAACAGAGGCTGCCGGGCCCCCTAACAGAGGGAGGGAGGGAGGCAACCCCCACCCCAGACCCCTTGTCTCCCTCCTGCCACCCACCATTCTGCTCTCACATGTTCTGCTCTGGAACCCTCAATAGCTCCCTAGTCCCCACCATCAGCCTTTGAGCTCAAATCTGTAAGTTGGAGACAGCAAAGTCAGTGCCACGTCCCCACACCAGGTAAGACCCCTTGACACCCCACACACACACTCCCGACCGCCAGACCACAGCAAGGAATTTAAGGTCTTGTTTCATCAGTCCCCTCCGTCATTCACTGGTTCTTCTGTCCATTCCATCATTCACTCAACTAACACTTCCCTCCCTACTAAGTGCAGAACCTGATGCCATCAGACCTGGAACCAACTGTGCACCTGAGGCTGCAGTACCAAGTACAATCAGGGGGGCCTAACAGGCAAGGAAGCCAGGGGCTCCCTCCTGAAATATCTCGGGGTAGGGGGGTGGATCCTGCTCCACCCCTTCTGAGAGCATTGAGGGAAACTGAGGCCCAGGAGTTTGGGCAGAGGCCCGGCCGAGGTCCTTTGGCGGGATGGCCAGGAGAAGGTGGGAGCCCTGGAGGGTTATGGGGTGAATCTCCCTGGGGCAGGATTGCTGCAGGGAGGAGGCTGAGGTCCTATGTGTGACCTAACAAGTCTGACCAGAACCCAACAATAGCCTGGAAACTCTGCAGCCGGGCACTGGCTCATTCTTTTAGTACTTATTGAGCACCCACTGTGTACATAGTCCTGAAGTCACAGGCTATAAGGAGACACAGCCCAACAGAGGCCCATGCTTCTCAGGCAGGATGAAGGACAGTCACATGTGATAAAAAGGACAGCCACACTTCTGAGATGTCCGGAAGGACCCAGGTCCCCGAGGAGGAGGTGGTCCTGGAGATGGACCTGGTGCGTGGGACCCAGGGGCAGTTAGATTTGCTGAAGCGGGGAAGAGCTTTGAGGAGGGGTGGGAAGGTGCTCCAGGCAGAGAGCACAGGCTGTGCAAAGGCCCTGGGGCAGGACGAGCCTGGGTGATGGAGGAGCAGCGAGGGGCCGTGTGGCTGGAGCAGAGGGAGCGAGGGGGACAGAGGGAGGA